TAAAAACCCTTCCATGTTTGTTCATTTGGCTTAGTAGGTTATCTTGTAAATGATCTCTTTTATTCGAAGTAATTGGCTTGTTTGTGAATTTTTTTAGAAGGGTATAAAATTGAATGAATATATTTGTCGTGAAATCCCGGCTGAGACGGTTCTGGGGACTCAGGTCATTTTTCAAACGCAGCTTCACAACACAGTTCGAGATATTTGTTGGATTATGAAGACCCAAACTGTTTCGATCGCTCTTGCTGCTCTTATTCTTAATTTACTATTGATTTCTGAGACTGATTGCTTCTCTGGACCAATACCAGGAAAGAGAGAGGTTGAAGCAAAGGTATCATTTTTTCGTTAACATTTTACATATGGTACGGGAACCAAACAATTATCAGAATTTAGACAGTTGTTCTGTTGTTCTGTAGTTCTTTTTGCAATTATATGTTGTTTCTAACTGTTTTTATTTAGCAAGACTTTTTTTTTTTTTTTTTTTTTTTTTTTTTTTTTTAATTGCAACACGAAGAAACTACTTTACAAAACAAGACGAACACTACTTACAATACCACCTACAAGACGTTACTTTTTCTACTTACTATATAATACTTCCTTAGACTGCAATTCTTACCCTACTTTTTACAGTTTTTTTTTTTCGCTTACACACCTATGTATCTATTAAATTATAATTCAAAATGGGTTTCCATTTAGCCTCTAGCATCTTCCTATCATTAAACTTAGCCGCAATGTGACATTCAGTTTCATATTTTCTTTTAACTAGTTCCTTATACGAAGGGAAAAAAGGAAGACTATTATTCCTACGGCAATTCCATAAATGTAGCTTACCTAAAACGATTAAGTAATTAAATAAAGAACAATTAGTATCTGTGATACCAATTAAAATAGTCTTTAACTCAAGTTTCCTTTGTTCTTTGGCTATAGCGATCCAATAAGATTCAAATTCTTCCCAAAATGCATGTGAGTAAACACAGTAAAAGAATAAGTGATCAATTGTTTCCGCACTAGTATTGCAAAAAGTGCAAAGATCGCTTTGTATTAAACCTATCTTAGCTAAGCGGGAATTTGTGAATAAAATGTCATTTAGTATTTTAAATTGAAAGCATTGCACATATGTCTCGCAGATACAGGACCTTATTAATGAGAAGGCCTTTTTGTTTCCACATCATCAATAGAAAATTTAGATTTCAACTTTGTGAAGCCTCTGGACTCTGTCGCCTTACTGGATATAAGCAAACCGTAGAAATCCCTAGACTTGCTAAGTGCTGGATCAAAGATTTTATCACCGATTTTAAATTGCAGTGATCTGACATGATCTTTCTTAATTTCGTGGCATCGAATTCTTAGATGACTTGGTACTGCGCAACGAACACCAGTCCAAGTCAGAAAGTTGGAATCTTTTAAACCATTACGTTTTGCAAGGTTAAAGGACTCTGTGTTACTCAAATCAAATTTTAAGTCGCTTAAAAGAATAATATTTGCGCTATTATAATTATAATAGAATAAAGGTTTGCCGTTTACTCTAATGTTATGATTGTTCCAGATGATTGTTTCACGTAGACTTACAAGATCAAATTTAGAACGAAAATCTGACCACCAGTGTAACATCTCCTTATAAAATATTGGGGAAATGTTATAGTCATTAATATTATAATCACAATGAAGAAAAAATTCTCCACCAAAAGGTTTTAGTAAATGTAATAGATACGCTTTCCAGGGATAAAAATTATCGCTTAGAAATCTTCCAATCCATGAAAGTCGGAGTGACATAATTGACGTTGTAAAATCAGTTACCTTTAGGCCACCAAATTCAACATCATTTATTACTGCTGTCCTGGCGATTTTATCAGGACCCTTCCAAAGAAAATTATATATAATTGATTGAAGGGCCTTTATGAACTCCAAAGGAGAAGGAAGAATTGACGAGATGTATAAAACTTTAGGAAGTAGTAAACTCTTAATAATTGTAACTTTACCAAACAGAGAGAGGCCTCTCCAACTCCACAAGCGTATCTGAGATTTAATTCCTTTGAGCTTATCGTAGAAATTCTTTTGCACTGATTCTTCGTTATTGTAACTAAAGTGAACCCCTAAAGCTTTTACAGTTTTACGCCATTTCAATGCTAGAGGTGTTTCGATGTTATTACGGGAAGAGCCAATCCACATTGCTTCGGTTTTTGTATAATTCACCTTTAGGCCAGAACATTTTTGGAATTGATCAAGTAACTTAAAAAGGTATTGAGCAGATCTGATATCCGACACAAAAGCTGTTAAATCATCTGCATACTGTACCATTTTGAATTCTTTTTCATCTATTTTGATTCCATCTATTTCTGAACATGAGCGAATAGCGACTGCTAGTAGTTCCATAGCAATGATAAACAAGTAAGGAGAAAGGGGTCTCCCTGCCTTACACCTCGATTTATTTCAAAGCTAGCTGAGAGCGTTCCATTGTTGATAATACAACTTGTTATGTTACTGTAAAAGGTTTCTATCCATCTTGTAAGACTGGATCCAAATCCAAAGACTTCTAAGCATTTGAACATAAAATTCCACTCCAGACTATCAAAAGCTTTCTCAAAATCTATAAAAAGTAGCAATCCAGGGATTTCATAAGTTTTCGTGTAATCCATTATATCTAGAATTGATCTTGCGGCTTCCCCTATGTAGCGACCTGAAACGTACCCAGTTTGATTGCTATGAATGATTTCGGGTAAAACTTTGACAATACGGGTCGCTATAACTTTGGACGCAATTTTATGTCGACGTTAGTCAAGGATATTGGCCTCCAATTTTCTAAGTAAGTCCTATCCTTGTCCTGTTTCTCAATAAGAGTAATCACTGCCTGTCTCTGAGATGGGGACATTTCCTTCTTCATAAAAGCTTCATTAAATGAATTAATCAAAGTATCACTAAGTAATGGCCAGAAGGTGTTATAAAATTCAATGGGTAACCCGTCGTTGCCTGGCGTTTTTGCAGTTGGAAAAGTTTTGAGAACGTTCTGGCATTCTTCCGCAGTTATTCTACCCTCACATATTATTCTTGAATCATGTGAAATACTAAATTTGGACTATCGAAAAAAAATCGATGATTCTGCATTATCTAGATTAACATTTCTGCTACGATATAAGTTCTTATAAAATTTGCGTTGTGAATCCATAATCATAAAGGGGTCAGTAGAAATTACACCGCTAATGTGCAGCTTTCTTACATGCTTTTTAACATGGTTGCGTTTCTCGAGATTTAAAAAATATTTGTTATTCTTTTCACCGTGTTCGTGCCATCGAGCTCTTGCGCTATTTAGCAAGACTTTGCTTAAGGTGTTTTGTTTAACGTGGAAGTCGACTTTATCCACGGCATGCGTGTTTTCCAAAGTTCAGTAGAGAATAGTTCTCAGGGACCTCAAGCAAACCACAACAGCAACACCAACGAAGACGTAGTAAAACAAAACGTCTAATAAGCAGAAAAAACGCTTAGCGAGAGCGTTTTAAAACTCTGTACATCGTCTAAGCCGTCCTCTGCAAAACAACAACTTGAAAGGGTACTAAAATATGCGCGGTCTCAGAATGAAAATCCCGACGGCAAATTATTTAAGTTTCAATTTGAAACTCAACGCTACTTACATACGTTAAGCTGACAGTGCAGTGAACTTGAGGTGCGGCGCCGTAAGAGACGGTAAACACATCCGGCCATCCGCAAAATTCTAACTAAAAATTTCCATTCATTTTTTAATTGACGTCTTCCTCGCCGTTCTCGTCCAGGCTCTTTAAGGCCCCTAACAACAGAATTCAACCAAATTATAAAATTTACCCACTCATTTTTGTAACTAAGTCTTCTGCGAATGTTGTTATAGATATACGATTCCGTTTACATGAGTAAAAGGGGAGTTTCTTTTTTAATGATTTTGCCTTACATCTTTTCTCGCTGCTTTGATCGTTGCAATCTTAGTTATTCCTCATTTCCTCAAAGTATCCAAGATTTTGATTTTACTTGTATGAGACTGAACGGTATTTCGATACCGGAAACCACGAAGTTTTTGAAGTAGTCGAATTAGAAAGCGACCCTTTGTAAGTAGTGTGCAGCGTCTAAGCTGAGATTCGTGGATTAAAGTGTTACAAATAGTCCACTGTTGGCTGAAATATATTCTATTACACTTGATATTTACAGTTTGACAGAAGGATAAGAAGGGCAGAAGGCCAGAAGGAAGCGAGAAGCTTCGGACGCGAGGGAATGGAAGAGAGGTTCTCTGACAAATGGATAGCACAACAAAAGTAGCCATGTTTATTGGAGGGGAGATCATAATGATGTCGCCGAAACTAGATTATAGAAAAGAGCTCTGTAAATCAAAAGATTTAAGGAAAAAAAGGAACAGAAGGGATAAATAAAAGGAGTAAAAAAAACAAAGTTCTGTTTCTTGAATGATTTTGGAAATGAAGGAAACCAAAGGATTTTGACTTAAGTACTGAAAGTTTCAGCCACACATATTTCGGTGCTTTCGCTCGCTGCAGTTTTTCTTGATCAACCAGTGAGACTCGACACTATACTATAAAATTTACGAAAGCCGAGGAGGGACTTCCGAACTTTGACTACCGACTTTCGACTTCCGACTTCCGACTTTCGACTTCCGACTTCCGACTTTCGACTTCCGACTTCCCGACTTTCGTCGAATTAGAATGCCCGAATACTACTCGCAAGTTCCTATATTGGTTGGAGGAAGTTATCATGAACATAGAATTTAATATATTTTCTCTCAAGCTTAGTGTTCGAAAATTTTAAATGCGTGGGTGAAACCAAATAAAATGTATGGCTGAAATTTGGAACAATCAACAATTCGACCCCGTTATTCAACAAAGAGGTTTCGCGTCAGCTGGTTGACTTTTTGTGGGTCTCAGTGTAAAAAGCTTCGCGCGAACTTAATCCTTGAGTGGTCTTCAATAAAATACAACAATTTGGAGCTCAAACTACGATACAATTTTATCAACCCTCTGCGGACCTACAAAAAAGCAACCGAAGAAATTCTTGAGACCTTGACGATAATTTCGACAGAATACAAAACAAATGATGGGGTTTATAGCACAATTTGAGTGTGCCAGGAAAAAAGCAAAACCTGTGAAGTATTGGAAGCCGCAAGATGATAATATATCTGAGGAATAGAGGGTTAGAAACCACCAGATACTGTACGGCAGCCAGCACATTATAAACCCTGACACAATAGCAGAGGACATCTTAAGAACATTTCTCTCTGCTTTTAAACGTTTTGCTATCGTGTTGACTGATTGTTCGCCGGGAATCTTCTGGGATTTAATTTTTAAAGCAATACCAAAGTAAAGTAGGCCAATCAAAACCAAAGGGGCGTACAGGAATACCACGATTATTGCCACAGCATAGTTTTCGTAGGACAAAGACTTTCCTAATGTGTCATTCCACTGTCGGACACACACCAGCTCTCCTCGGTACTTGATAACTTTCCGAGCGAACAGTTCTGGGACCCAAACAGCGAAAGCGTTGATCCAGGTGGCGAGAATAACGAATCGACACCGCTCTGAGCTGATGAGTGGTGAACGGAGAGGAAATACCACAGCTCCAAATCGATCCACAGCTATCAGACCAAGGCTCTGAATTGACACAGCAGGGGAAGTTTTCCTTAAAAAGTAGTCCAACTTACACAGGGCTTGGCCGAGAGGACCGCTGACCAGCCAAGAGCCGCTATATAAGGTAATCAATTTCTCTGGAAGCAGGAAAATCGGATACAGAAGATCGGACACAACCATATTTACAATTAAAACGTTGATTGGCTTTCTGAGGGTTTTCGTCCTGTAGACAACTGCTCCAATGAAGCTATTTCCAACCAGCGAAACAAGAAATAGCAAACAGTAAGCAAAGGTTTTTCCAATTCTCTCTGCTGCGGGATTGAAGCAGCTCGACATGATCTGTATTCCATTCACTGTCTTGGTAACGTTAGTCGACATTCTCCGCCAGAACTCAGTGTGAGATCAGTTTCTCCTTTAGCCAACAGTTCTTTGTCTGACTCTGAAGCCTCTCTATACTCTATTTAAAGAAAAAAAACAGCTGATTATTTACATATATATTAGAAATGTTTGATAAAACTTCTCCAGAAATTATTTCATTTCTAGTTTTAATTCGCAGTCTGTACCGAAACTTCCTGAAAGCTGATTTATTACACTTGAAAGTTAGCGGGAATGGAATAGCCGAGAATGGTCTAAAACTGGTATTGTAATTCTTTTTGTTTGTTTGTCAAAATGAAAAAAAAAGCGATACGATCGGTTACAAAAAACAATATTAGAGAATTATACATGCAAACGAATCCTTGAGGTCAGAACGGTTTTTAAAAGCGTTTAGGTGAAAACTTTCCTAAGAATCTCATTCGAAGTATCATACTTTATTCATTGCCCAAAGCTTAGTGGCTGCTAAAGAGTGCTCCTGCCTTGACGCAGAAATCTCTTACACATGTTTTTGTTATTTAAAAAGTTACATCAGTCTGTCAGTTGGCGTGTAAACAATAAACAATCATCTTCTCGACGTCCAAATAAAATCAAATGATTTTTTTCTCTTGCACAATAATCTTAATTAATGTTCTAAGTTAAAGCTACTGCTGGCTTCAAAAACGAAAGTGCAATTTTCTAGAGAGCGTCGAAAGTATTCGGTTTAATATTACAATGTTTTGCTCCATCGCTCTCTATGAATGGTCTAGAAAACTTGCGCTACCGTCTTAATGGACAGGGACGAGCTAAAAACAATCTACATTTGATCACCTGTCTTACTTTGAAGGATCAGTGGTACCTGCCAATAAATGCCTTGGTTCTGTTTGGTTTTGATGCCTATATAAAGATTAATTTAATTGAGAACGTGACAAATGTAAATAGCAAAACTCAACTCTTACGCTTGGCAGGATGTTAATCATGTCGAATATCATCGGTGAGTCAAACACTCCTCCAGCTGTCCGAGAAGCTTGAAATTTAAGGTTAATATAAGGCCTTCCTTTTTTGATTTACAGCTAAAATCAACACCTTTCGTTTTGGGGAACCAATTGAACGAAGGTTTCCTCAGAAATTAGTGGGAGCCAACATACTTTTATTTCACAAGCTCATTAGAAACCAGCCTAGGATAAGCATTCGTCTCATCAACTGAAATGATAGAAGAAAAGTAAAAGTTGCGGCAACAACGATAACACTCCAAATAAAATGGTCGATCTATCATCACGCAGTGTAGCTTTGACCATCGTGGAGTCCGGCTTTATGATTGCACTGAATATTCTGTCTCTAGGAGGCAACATCATGGTATGTATAGCCGTGTACAGGAATACAAGACTCCGCACTACCACTAATATTTACATCATCGCGTTGGCTATCAGCGATCTTTTGAGCGCCATTTTCGTCATGCCGTTTGCAGCGGGAGTGCTCATTTCAGGAAGATGGCCCTTTGGTAAAGAATTTTGCCAGATAAACGCCTTTTTCAGCCTATTTGTTGTGTACGTTTCACCTGTGACGATGGGTTTGACAGCAGTTAACAGATACATAAGAATATGCAAGTCAGACATGGAGTATAAACGGTTCTTCTCCCCAATAAGATCCCGCCTCGTGCTGGCCTTTACATGGGGCTTAATTGCTTGTTACATCCTGGTTTCCCGCTTGGCTGGTCTACAAGGCTTTCAATTTGTGCCAGAGTATGCCTCGTGCTTGAACCAACATCTGGCTGCATCTAGCAAAATTGTTCATTATTTCGTGGTTATTGGCTTGTTTTTCCTTCTTCCCCTGGCGGTGACTATTTTCAGCTACAGAAAAGTCTCCAGAAAGATCAAGGAACACAACACCAATTTAGCAATGACCCATCAAAGTCAAAAACGGAATGCCGATTTCAGCGCACATGAAATCCGAATAAGCAAGTCATTATTCGTCGTAGTATTTGCCTTCATGTTATGCTGGGTTCCTGCTTGGTTGATTACGATCCTGGTACGCTTTGTGGGAAAAGTACCTCGCAATGTTCAACTTTTGTGCGCTTTCTTCTTGAATTTGTCCAACACTATTAATCCTTTCATTTATGCCGGAATGAATCCGTTGTTTAGGTTAGAGTTCACAAGAATACTCCACTGTGCATACTACAATAAAATTCGCAATGAATCGGGCTCGAACGCCGATGACAATCAACAGGGATTGAGTCAAAGAACCGTCGCCCTTGCTCAAAGCACCACACAGCACCATACCTTGTAAATTACTGAGCGCCAGTTGAACAATCGACGAAAATTAAAATCAAAACGAAACATCTTAGGTGAGGAAATTGATTTTACAGAACGGAGTATCAAAGGCGTGAAAAGTATACAAAATAAAATAAGCATGCAGATTAGTAAAAAGCAGTGAGATAGGGAGATAAATCGCGACTAATTTTGATCGTGTTGGACAGGACAGAGTTTTTTCTGCAATAAAGGGGATCTTTCGATGGAGACCGTTTCTTGAAACTACGTGGATTTCATCAGTACACTTTGAAAAAATGTACGAAAATTTAAAAGAATTTGACCTTTTCGGATTTGCGAGAACATTTTTGGCGGATAGCAATTTCTGTTATTGAATGTATCCGGCAGACAATGTGTCCTATGCGTCAATTGAAAGCGGTGTGCTTATTTATTAGTCTATTCAACTGAAAGTCCTTTTAAGTTCATGATATATTCATCAGGGACGTATCCACAATTTTTTTCCCACCTGCGTGACTTTCATAACATGATTCTTGCAAAGGTTGAGACAAAAATTGGACTTTCTTTACGACATACTCTTGAGTTCTTAAATAACAAAGAAGCAGGAAGAACAAATCTCGTAACGTTGAAGCACTCGGTTAACACGCTTCCAGATCTCTGAAAATGGTTACGACAAGTCAAAAAGCTGGACACCCCCTTTTTCATGATGCATCGTTAAAAAGGTTGATAGGTTTTCTTAGGCTTAGTATCTTGTAGACAGTAATTGCAATGAAGATTTTTCCAGCAAATGAAACAAAAAATAGCAGAAAACAAGCAAAGTGCAAGCGATTCTTTCTGCAATGAGATTGAAACAGTTCGACTGTTTAAAGATTACCTTCACTATAACGACATAAAACACACTCGAATATATAATTAAAGTGTTTAATGAAGCACATCTGAACCTTATTATGTACATATGAATTAAAGCTATTTGATTCTATAAATCAGCTCCAGACCTTATTTTATTCTCTTAATTCGCACTCTGTATCCAAAACTTTCCTTGATTAAAAAACTACGTCATCATATTAAAAGTTACCTGGAATGGAATGGTTAAAGTGATCTACAACTGGCATCATAACGTTTAATCATGACGCAAAGAAGAAAACAAAACGCTAGATATCGGTTATAGAAACAATTCTTGAGAAATGCATGTTCTTATGGTAAAGAGATACTATAATTCTTGTCTTTCTACGCTTGTAACAGTGACAATGAAAAAATGTATTAAACTTCTCACAGATTTACTTTCGGATTAAGGGGCTGTCATCTTCTACCAAGTGCAATCTGGTCAAACGGATCCTGATCTGTCGTGGGAAAATACGGCTGTTTCGAGAAAGATTGTTGGGAAAAAAATACTCAAAGTACACGCGACGACCTCGAAAGCTATTGTGGGTAGTTTCCACTGAGGGCACGGTTCTTTGACCTCAGGATTTCAGGGAAATCTGAGAAAACGTCGCTTTAAGGACGAGGCACAGCAGTTTTGATGAATTCATTTATGTATTTGACTTATTAAAATTCACTGAAAACTAGACACCTAGATTACCTTTCGAGATTGTTGCTTGTACTTTTGTCCTTTTTTCAGACAACCTTTTTCAAAATAGCTGTATATTTGAACTGAAAGTCTTCGAAATTCTATCGAGTATAATTGACATACCCAGCCTCAGTTGCCCACGATGTGACTAGAGTGAAGAAATTTGCTCACATTTCTCCAGTGTGGCTAATAAGCAGCTGGCTGACGGAAGGGGACCACGCGCCCCTTCCTTTCCCCCACCAATCTCTATTCGCCACTTCCCGGCCTAAGATTGAGCAACTCTGTTCGAGACACGTGCAGCAGCTTTGAGATGTTAATCGTGGCAGGGATCCCGTTGGTGTGGCCGATTCAATTTCGCAAATAACATCTCCTTTGTCAGCACAGTGTTGGGACAACACACTTCGATCTCGCATCATATATATAAACACTATTAAACTTCAAACTCCGGATACTGCATTTCCAGTGTTCTGATTAGTTCACTCAGACCCGGTTATCGGCTTATATACCGAATCGCCTTATATGGAAAATGATTTTCACCAACCGTTATTACGCTAAATTTCCTTTGGCTGGAAACAAAAAATTTTTCCGTGCATTGAGAATTATTCGAATTAATAAAACAACTATTTCATTTTGCGCTTTTTGAAAACGAGATTGGGTTCCGCTAACATTATCTCTTTTGGGATGCGAACAGTTTTCTAAGAGCGAGGCTCAAGGAAAGCTGTGAGCTTTGAATGCCACGCGATAATTATACCTAGCGAATCAGTTACAGGTTCGTAAGTTCGTTAGTGGTAAATTCTTTGTGTGCATTCCATCGTTCCGGCATTGTAACAGTCATGCGCCGGATTCGACTAGACTCCTAGATTTAAAAAAAACTACCCAGAATGATATTTACCACACAAGATAATCGTTGAGAAAAAGTTCAAACAACGGTTTGGGTAAGGCTTCTCTTTTGATAAGTTTAAATATGTACATTATCATAGGTAAGTGAGCTTGGAAAGGAAGACGAGAATACTCGATATTTATTTATTACTTTCAGTACGAGTAGAGGGAGTTGTCACGTCTCTCTGTTACTAATGATTACCAAAGGCCACTTTTGGTAATCAGTTTTTTACCAGAACTAGTTCTTATTTTGATATATCATGTCTTAAAAAGACATCAAGCTGACATTTTACTCAGTTTCTTTTTGTTAATCAATA